CTGGGCCATAGAGCGCTCGCGGCACTCGGTGCTGACGATGGTGGGGTAGATATGCTCCTCCTTGAAGGCTGCCACCTTGGCTTCCTCCTGTGCCCAGTCCAGCGGCTCATGCAGCCCGTCCCCACCGAAGCGCTGGTTGTACTTCTCAAAGTGCACACGCTCCAGGACCAGGCCCAGCCCTGGTGCCTTGGGCACGTCCACCTTGCCCTCGCCCCAGCTACGCTCCAGCACGCTCTCGGGCGCGTACCCCTTGATGATGGCCACCGCCAGGCCCACCATCTTGCGAATCTGGTGCGTCATGAAGCTCTGGCCCTTCACCTTGATCACGGCGAACTCCAGGCCATCACGCTCGAAGGGCTCCTCGCAGAACATCTCCAGGACATAGCGCCGCGCACTGGGTTCCCGCGGCCCCTTCTGCGAGGTGAAGTTGTGGAAGTTGTGGGTGCCCTTGTAGCAGGCAAGCAGCCTGTTGACACGCTGCAATGTCTCGGCGCTTAGGCGGTAGCTCTCATCCTGGGCGTCGCGATCCTTGTGGGCAAAGGCGAAGGTGGGCAGCATGTAGCAGTAGGTCCGGGCATCACACCTGTTCTTGGAGTTGAACCCGCCCGTGACCCGCTTCAGGCCTGGGGAGACGCGGGGAGCAGAAACTTGTCAGCGACGGGATCCAGTACCTGCTTACCCAAATGCACAGGGTTCTAATAGAAATCCAGCTAGGCGTGGTGGCCAGCACTTTGGGAGGTTGAGGTAGGAGGAATGCTTGAGTCCAGGAGTTTGAGATCAGCCTGGGCAACACTGTGAGACCTTGTCTCTACAAAAAATTAAAAAGTTAGCCAGGTGTGGTGGTGAACAGTGGTGGCCCCAGTTACACGAGAGGCTGTAGCAGAAGGATCGATCACCTGAGCCCAGGAGGTTGAGGCTGCGGTAAGGCCTGATTGTGTCATAGCATTTCAGCCTGGGCAACAGAGTGAGACCCCCCAGCTCAAAAAAAAAAGGTTCTAGAAAAATCAGACTTTTGGGTGAAGGGTTAGTCAAAGGTCAGTGAACAGACGCAGAACAGGCACGGCTAGCAGAAGGGGGCATCCATGCCTGTTCTGAGGAGGAAGGGAGACTTTAATGAACAACAGCTGCAGGTTCTCAGATAGAAGAGCAGATATTTATTTTTATTACTTTTTGAGTCAGAGTCTCACTCTATCAACCAGGCTAGAGTGCTTTTTTGGGGGGTTCTTTTTTGAGTGACCTTCTTTTTTGATTGCCTTAAAAATTCCACTTCATAGCCGGGCTCGGTGGCTCAGCCTGTAATCCCGCGCCTTTGGGAGGC